ATGTCTGTTGTTATAAAACAATTCAATAGGATCTAAAAATGTGTATTATATGTCTGTTGTTATAAAACAATTCAATAGGATCTAAAAATGTGTATTATATGTCTGTTGTTATAAAACAATTCAATAGGATCTAAACATGCGTATTATATGTCTGATCTAAACATGTGTATTATATGTCTGTTGTTATAAAACAATTCAATAGGATCTAAACATGTGTATTATATGTCTGAAATGTTTAGATCCTATTGAATTGTTTTATAACAACAGACATATAATACACATGTTTAGATCCTATTGAATTGTTTTATAACAAGTATTATATGTCTGTTGTTATAAAACAATTCAATAGGATCTAAACATGTGTATTCAAAATCAAATGTGTATTAATGATCGTATTTGGGAGATAAATTGTTAATTTAGTTTTTTGTGCTTCTTGGGATCCTATTGAATTGTTTTATAACAACAGACATATAATACACAGGTTTAGATCAGACATATAATACACATGTTTAGATCCTATTGAATTATTTTATAACAACAGACATATAATACACATGTTTAGATCAGACATATAATGCACATGTTTAGATCAGACATATAATGAATGTGATTCATTATCCAGATTTGATAAAATTGTATTAAAGATTATAAAGATATTCTAATTACCTTTGATCTTTAAAAAAAATCCCTCTGTATTTCTCTATCATGCACTTATGATGTTGTTTTACCATTAGTCTGTAATTTAGCATGAATAAATTAAATTTAAGATGGTCATCTACAAGTCGTCTGTCTCAAGTACTGTTGAAATATTATTTAGGCTAGTAGTGCCTTACTACATTTATATTGTTGATATTTTATCAATTTTTGTTCCTTTAATCGAATGTCCTGCTTTTATTTCAAGTACAATTAACTTTTGAAATTGAAAAATTTGCGTTTATTTAATATGCATAAATATTTTAAAAATAGGATGAAAAATTTTGCTCACGACTTAGCAGAGAAATGAGTCCTTCGAAAATATAGTATTATTTATTTATGTTTGATAAAGCTGTTGATCCAGCCGAACCATACTTTCAAAATATGCCAGTAGAGGTCAGGATCGATCCTTCCGACGCTCTGTTTGTTGATGTGATTCACACTGACGCAAAGACAATTTTCTTGATGGGTAAGTAAACGTTCGTTCAAAGCTTTTTCATGTATAATTTATTACCTGTGATTAAACTGGAACTCGGCTTTATTTGGAAATTTTGCTTTTTAGAATAATAATAATAATAAATAAATTAGTAAAATGTAGAATCCATAAGATAACGGTGAAGAAAATTAGTTAATTAAAAATTTGGTTTCTATCATTCTGCTATAAATTTGTAAATTTTTTTCACACACATATACGCCCTCAGTGGCATGTCTGCGTAGTGGGCAGAGCACAAGTAGCCCATTGTGTAGCCTTGTGCTTGACTATAAACAAACAAACACACGTACAGTGAAGCGCAAAGAACCCTATCAATTATCATGGACGTTATTTTATTTCTCTAAATAGTCATATTTCATAATATTATAGAATTAGTCTTTAAAAGAAACATTTAGCTTTCTTCGTTTCATGTCGTCCACCGGTGGTTCGGAGGACGCCGAGAAGTCAGTCCACTGTGTAGCTTAAAACGAACAAGTTCACGTCTATTAAATTTAACTAGAGAAGCACTGATTTGTTGAAATAATGAAAACTAAAACAAGTCTTGTATGTTATTTATGTTTTTGTTGTTATGCTAACCGTAGGTATCGAACACGGTTTTTAGTGTTATAAGTCCTCAGATTTTCCACTGTTACTTCTATTGCTGTTACTGAAAAGTGTTAAGAGTCATTAAATAGAAACAACAACAACAACAAAAAAAGATATGTAATGTTGTAGGTTTATTATTTTAATCTAAACTGATTAAGTAATGCTTACGTAAATTCCCAATTTTTGGTATCGGTGCTACTATGCTTAATGACTGGTGAAACTTTAAACTAATTACATTTTCCAATTTCATTTACATACGGACCAAAGCTCGAATTTTGAGAGGAAAATTTATCTTCAACGAAACAAAAAAGGAAGACTATGTGAGTTTAAACATTTGAAAAAAATAACTTAAAATTTACAAAACTGTTGAATTTTTACATAGGGCTGGGAATGAGCCAAGAAGTTGGACACGTGGATTTTTTCCCTAATGATGGGACCAATCAACCGGGTTGCAAAAAGGATCAGATTCTTTCCTTCATCACTGATGGTTTGTTAGAAGGTAAGAAAAGCTGAAGCCATGTTAACAAGGGTTGTCAGACATACAGACAATCTTGAAAGATATTCTAGACAACAATCCCTATATCTATAAATCTAGGTGTAGTATGCGTTGTGTTGCTATAAAAATCTGTTTTTTTTTTTTTTTAAAGCCAGAGGTACAATTCTCATTTTAGTAACGTAATATTTTGGTTATTTTAAAATGGAATATTGTTATAAAACGTGTCAAACAAATGTTTTTTAAATCGCTCTTCTAATCAATGCTGCTAGTGTACGAAATAATGATTTATTTACTGAAGATTATCGTGAAAACCGAAACTTTAACCTACGATTTCAATTTTTAGTGTAATGAATGTCAAACCATTTTCCTAGTTGTGAAAAAATACCGAGAATGTGATAATAATAATTGAATAGAGTGTCGGCTAACAATACGAAGAATTAAACTGTGGCGGAATGCTACAAATTCTTCAAATACCTATAGAATGATAGGTTTCTTTTTTATGAGTGTAAAACACTTAAATATACAAGTGAATTCCGATCTGAATTTTGTATTTTTTCTTTCTTTTTTGAACCAGTAACCTAGTTTAACAGACAGGACCGAACTTAAGAAATTGGGCGCCCAGAGCAAAGATTTATTTGAGGGGCCCTTTTGGTACTTTTATACTTTTAGTATGGCACTTCTCATACTATCTATTCGCTTGTTGCAGAGGTCCAAATGGGGTAAAAAACAAGTAAGATTAAGAGCCAATATACAATATTATTAAATTAGAAAAGTTTTAACCTATTCATTTTTAAAAGATGGATCTATTTTTATTCATTCTTTTTTATTTTCATCTAATTTTATTTTTATTTTTAACTTCTTGGAGGTTCCGGGCAGCTGTCCTGCCTTTTATTCGCCCTGGTAACAGACAAAACTTGTATCACTGTAAAAAGAAAGAAGGCCCGGCATGGCCAGGTGGTTAGGACACTCGACTCGCAATCTGAGGGTCGCGGGTCACACCAAACATGCTCGCTCTTTCAGCCGTGGGGGCGTTATAATGTGACGGTCAGT